CCCCAGACCTCCCTCTCCTTCTCACAGTCTATCCCGACACGCGCCAGCAAAAAGGAAACTCAGATAGATAACAACGGAGGCAATGGGGGCTGGATGGGAAGGGATAAACCCCAGCTGATACTCGCTTCCCATAGCGGGATGCAACACAGAGGTGTGGGAACCAGCAACACCTGCAGAACTCACAATCCACATCTAAATCCCCGGCACTGGCTAAAAGGCCCTGTCATGGGGACTCCATGTTCAGGTGACAATTGGAGGGAGGATGGTGGGAGACACAGAAAGCTACGTGGAGCTCGGGGACCCTCCTCCATTCCCACCTGGCTGCTCCTCTTTGGTGGCTGGAAGGAGCAGGGGTAAGTGGTGTCTCCACCCTCCCAGTGACCCCATGTTTCTCAGAGGTGGTATCATTGAGGACATCCCTCTCGGATCCTCCCATAGATGTGCCTGAAGAACAGCCCACAGCCCAGTGCCCTCCCAGCAGATGATGAGTCCGGGGTGCTGGTCGGGTTATGCTTCAGGAATGATGGCAGAAAATGAGATCTGTCTTCCGCTCTGAAAAGGGGGAGTTGGCATGTCGCAGCATTCACATCCTAGACCACAGGGGTGTGGGTTTTCAATGTTGGTTGGCAACACCATAGCCAACCACTTCTAGAAGCGTTTGCTTGTTTGCTTGCTTGTGTTTCTACAGTGTCTCATGCTGGATGTCCTTAAACTCAGGGGTGGAAGATTTCAGGGCAGGAGAGTGTGTTATTTCCTGCTCTCGTCTCTGGGGGCATCTGATGCTTATGACCTCCAAATGATATTGAAATAGCCCCAACCCTGGGCACCAGGAGACAGGAGGTTCAGTCCTGGCCTTCTCTGCCTTCGCCTTGTCCTGCTGTGAGTTTTCCACAAGGCACCCAGTGCCACTGGGGCACTCTCACCTAGGAATTGAGGGAGAACAATCTGCCCCTTATAGAAGGACAAAATGAGGTAAAGGGCTGCTCGTATTGGGGGCAGGATCCCTGGACTCAGAGAAATTTAGAAGCTGATATGACTGGGTTGGATCTCAGTACTTTGGGAGGCCAAGGCAGGCAGGTTAC